CATAAGTATATGCTTGAGCCATAAATTATTTGCAGAGGCAAAGGTCAACTGATAATCAAATCGATATTTTGTGCTCCCAAAAAAGCCCATCTAGGATCAACCAGGACTGGGCGTAGAGATAATGGACCGAGCATGCCTTGGCCATTCCCGATCTGGGGTCTCTCTCCAAGGCGCCTCTAACCGCTGCTCCACATCCCTGCCTCACAATTTCAGTGATTTTTTGGCAATCTTTATGGTAACCTTTACCCTTACCCATTGCAGACCTCTCAAGGGAAGGGAGAAAATGTTGCATAAGAGATCAAAATTCATTCTCACAAAATATTGCCCCCGAAAAAAAAACCGCAATCTCAACAACAAGATCTAATTTCTTCGAACCAGTTTTCAAGTAGACTGAACCGCAAAAACTTCTCCTCTTCGTTTATTCATCTTCTGCCGATAAATTGAAACCAAGTTCCATGTGAAGCGAATATTTCGAACTGCCCATGTGTTCTTCATCAATAGTAACACCCACATTAACAACGAGGTAGACCGCATTACAACGCCGTGGCCAGCGCTCTTTCTCTCTTCATTCACATTAGCGAAAAAGAAAGGCTGCCATGCTCAAAACATCACCACATATCAGTGAGATGGATCGGAAGAATCAAACTGACCAACAGGTCCCCAGCACAACACTGGTAACAGCACTCACAAATCCTCACTACTACCCAGACTCCCTCCTCATGCTCCTTCTAAACAACAGGGAACACAGAAAGCGTAGGTACAAAATAATTGAGCCTTTCTTGATAAATCTCTCTCCGGGACGCTGGAATTTCGTTGCAGTGGCATTTGAATGCAAGCTTGCAAGCCGCCTTGCCTCTGTTAGTCATTGTGCGGACCTAATGGCAGGGTCTGCACCAGTGACTCCGAGGGGCCAGGCGGCCGCTATGCTTCTAACAGGCATGATTTCACAAAATCCACTCCCTCCCGCGACGGGGTAATCCCCACGTGGGCGCGGGTACGTAGCCTGAAAGTGGCTAGCGCGCGGAGCGACACGTGATCATTTAGCGCTGTTTCTTGCTATGTTTCACTTCTTTATTCTTCCTTGTTTTCTCTTCGAATAGTCGCCATTTGGCACCATCAACACACAAAGGCGATCATGTATCACTATCATACACTGATCATTATAACCGACAGCGGAACGGTCGCTCACCGTTCCACGGTCAGTTGTTATGATCAGTTCGTGGGAAGAAAGTGCTTCATTTTCCTACCTTGGTGCCCGTTTGGAGATAGGTAACAGGATTAAACTGATGTGGCAATCCCATTCGAATAAAGAAGTAGGAAAGGGAGGTGGAATGCAGGTGGAGAAAAAAGGAAAGAAAATCGCAAAAAAAATAGGAACCGACCCGTTCTGCGGTACTCAATTGGAGATGGAGTGCGCGAACAAGATAGGATCGGTGGGACGGGCCCTGATGTTTTTGGTGGGATTTTGATGGAACTTAGAGCTGCGTCTTAGTTGACGCGTTTCGATTGGTGCGAGGTGGCACGACCTCCGCGATAGCGCAAACCTCCGCAGTACCGAACCGTACACCTCTTTCCACGGGAGCGACTACTTCAGTGAGCTGAGCTGGACCTTGCCTTTAAGTACGACAATTGCGCGGCTCATGACCCTGCGATGTAACCCCTCGGCTCAATAGGGATGAGCTCTTGAAATCAGAAGCAGAGGGCATTCTAGCCAGAAAGCCTTCCCTCAGCTTCCTAGTCGACAACCAAGAGCGTACTTCTTCTGGAGTTCTACCTCATGCACGTCTACTCTAGTCACTGCTGTAGATATTATAAATTCACATTTCATTTTTAAATATTCGATCATGTCCGGGTAATCATAGGCATGACGAGTGTTACAAGAATACCCTCAACAGAGTTTCTAAAAGATATGGCGTGCAAGCGTGACTAATGGCGTCGTTAGATACTTTTAGATAGGCCGCCTGACCTTCTACGAAAACGAATACGCGGTGGGAAAGACACCGGCCAGATCAGGCTCCACCCCTTCGCATTTTATTTTAACGAAAAATTTAAAAAATTCAAATGCATGTCAGAGTAAAACTGAAGGATGCCACCAAGAAATCCAGGCGCCATGTCGTACGCGAGCCCTTGCAGTTGAAAATATTGCATCCTATCAAACTTGTGTCCGTAAATTTTGTTCTCGGCTGAGGGGCCGCAGGGCCCCCGCAATAGGGAATTTTCAACTAGCACGCAAGGTCAAAAAGTCCAAGTGACCGAAAAGCAGGTTCGGAATTGAGGCCCCCAATGAAACTAATGGTAAGATGCTGCTTCTGGAAGGCTATTCAGATTGTGCTGCTCCACCTCTTTAGCTATGGCTAGACGAAAAAATTGTTACCAATTTCAGGTTATCGAATACTGTGATGATCCAAAGGATTCCAATATGAACATCGTGTTCAACGATTCGATGACGATGCCTAACGTGACGTTTTGCATGTCGAAGAAACAAGCCTGGAGTCATTTTAAACTCAATGAAAGCGCACCGGTCGAAGAATGGGATATGATAGTTGACGTAAGTTAGATATTCAATTTTCAAGTTCTCATGCCGCAACAATCTGAAT